CCCCAAAACCCCAAAACCCCAAAACCCCAAAACCCCACATAAGCAACTATCCATTGAAATCATTATTAAAAATGCTAAATTTTTTGAAGTCAAGCGAGATATGCCCCAGATGTAAGGAGTCCAAGGAGGATTGTGCTGCCCAGCAGAGGAACATGAACTGGTTCGAGTTCGGAGTCAACCTCTTCAGTTTTGGGCATTACCATAAGTGACACAAGGAGATATACTCATTAGGGACAGTCGACTTTACGCCTAGCGAAAGTTTACTCGGAGCTGATCACAAGAAGCTTTCTCATGAAAAGCCAAAGGTCGTGTCTGAGGTCAATAAGATGTTCCATGATGAGGATTATGGAGAATACTCCGAAAGTGAGTCTGATAGTGACTCTGACAGCGATTCTGATAATGTCCTTCCTAATGCTCCACCTAATGCTCCTCTTAATGTTCCACCTAATGTTCCATCTAATGCTCCTCCTAATGCTCCACCTATTGCTCATCCTAATGCTCTTCATAATCACCCTAAATTTCCTGTAAAGCCCAATAAGATGCATAAATATCAACTATCCAAAAAGAAGAAAGCTTTTGTGAAGAAGTCTGTCATGATGATCCCTGAGAAAAATTTTGACAAAAATTTTTCATCTACTTACTACTTTAAGGCTTTTAACAAAACTGAAAGATATCCTCCGGTGAAGGAGGCTGTCGATGATCTGAAGAAACTGTTCAGTAACAATAAGGAACTTGCCGACATTGTCCAGTTTTACCATGAGATGTATATTGATTCGGATGTAAATGTGATTACCGGAATCTGGACAGAGAGCGAGTAGGTCTTATTCTTTGTGAATTTTGTACAAAATGATTATGATATTTGCCAATTAGCCTCATTTTGTTCCTATTTCAAGGAGTTTTTGATATTTGAGGTCTCTTTTCAAATTATCTTCTAGAATTCATAATTATTTGCTTCTGATTTATTTGAGAGGAATTCAGCCATTTTCTTTGCTCGATTTTTCAAAATCCCTTAAAATGAGAATTAAAGATAAAATTTATTAAAACAAAATTTCTGGAATTAATTTGATTGCAATGGAAACTCTTATATGTAAAGAGTCTAAAACTCTCATCAACATGGTACCATTCCTTACCATTTCAAAGGATGAATTTAGTTGGTATATAGTGAGAAGATGGAATTTGTTAAGAATGCATTTGATTTTTTCATAAGTACTTAGAAATTTTCTTAATTTTCAGAGTTGACCCCTTATCCATATCAACCTTTCTTCTCTTCCTACAATGACCTGACCTAACCCAAAATCACAAGATATCAGCTCCCTCTCCTCCAATATTCCTTTCATACCAACTTTCCCTCTATCTTAACTCACAAATCCTTCCCAAATTCCTTTCCACCACCCCTTCTAACCCACTTCATCTAGCAAGTTGACCTGTTGCATTAACGCCGGCCTGATTCTTGACGCAGTGGAGGCCTTTGGAAAAGACGTTTACAAGAACGTCAATTTCTTCAAGAAAGTAAGTGGCCTAGGTTCAGAGTTTAGGTACTAGCTGAGAATAAGACAGATTATAAGACCGTCATTGACTTGTCGATCAAGTTCATGAGACTCCTCAACACCTTCATTGTTGACCTTGGTACCATGTAATTTCAATTCTCTTGTCTAAATAGCTAAAGTTTTCCTGAATAGACTCTTATGCTTACCTAATATATACCATAGCCCAGACCATCTACCTTAACATTCGGTCTAAAAATAAGACCTTGGGCAGAAAATTTCTGTTTTTATGTTAAATGCCAAAATCTTATCATCTGGCTTAATCTTAGGTTTATTTTGATATCCAAAGTTGTCTCTTAAAGACTTATTAGAAACCTTCTGCAGACCAGAACTTAAGAGCGTAGTGGGTAGAGCAATCTACTTTATTCCATATTCTTTATCGAAGCTCCTTCTTCTACATGTTCAGAGTTATTTAGTTCAGTAATTGGCAAGTTTATAGGTATAATACTGAAGATCGTGTTGTGTACAGAGGTGTCAGAGCTGAGATATTTAGCGATGTTAAGGAAAGAGAAATTATCAGAATGATAGGTTGGAACTGTGCTAGTGATGTATTAGACGAGGCAGTGAAATTTGAAACTAAAAAAAAAGAGGATAAACAAACATCTTCTTTGGTTAAGTTTAATGTTAAGTAAGTTATATATACTTAATTTATAAACATCTTTTTATAAGATTCTACTTAGAGAAGATAGAAGCATACAACATGATTTGTGCTGCCTTTAAACCTCGATAGAGATTTGGAGAGTTTCAGTATTTCTGCGTTATAACAGAGTCAGAAAATTCATACTAAATTTAAAGATTCCATTATCTTTCATTATATAAAGCATTTCATGAACAAAAAATTAGAAAAATCTAAGTTCAAAGCTTCCTAATTCCTTATGAGCTTGCCTAATTTTTGTAATGAAAGAAGAATTTGTGACCTCTAAAGAACTTATAATAACACAGTTTATATCAGTCTTTACACTTTCAATTTAGAGCTATGTGCTTCAACGCTGGACAACTAAATCATTTTGGATTTTCATCAAATGACCATGAAAAAGAAACCTTAATTCCTCCTTACTCAGCATGTATATGTATAAAAAAAGAGCAAATGGTAGATACAGATTTCGATGATGAGTCTTTCGATACTAATTACACTAAGGAAGAAGTAAAAGGAGCAGACCCTGGATCTATGCCAATGATGGGTGTAGATAAGGATAAAGACTCTAAAAAGAAAGCTGATGTGGATAAAACTAAGAGATGGAAGACTGTCTTTGTGATGAACTTGGCTAGAGATAACAAGAACATTCAAGATGACTTAAGATGTAGCTTTTAAGAAAGATTTGATCAAAATTTTACTTTATGGGATATTTTTCAATATTGAGAAATTAGTTTGGGGTTTTGGGGTTTTGGGGTTTTGGGGTTTTGGGGTTTTGGGGTTTTGGGG